TATCCACCATGTTGGTGAGAGCTATTGTGGTTGATTGTTGATCCAAGAAGGGTGTTCTTGAGGTGTTTATAATCCTCTAGCTAGTCTAGAGAGGACTTGTAATCCCACCAAAGTCTAGTGGAGTTGTGGCTTGGACAAAGGTCCCATGGTTTTTCCCGATTTGGGTTTTCCATGTAAAAATCGTGTCTCTTGTGCATTCTATTTTTGCTTGTTGTTGCTGCCCGGTTTCTCAACAGTGGTATCAGAGCATTAGGTTGTTTTGGGGCTTTGTTTGGTGAATGTCAAGAATGGATGACTCAAGTGGAGCAAGGATTAAGTTGACATTATCCAACTACTCTATTTGGAAGCCACGGATAGAGGATATTCTGTTTTGCAAGGATCTCTATGAGCCAATTGAAAATGGAAGCGAGAAGCCGGAAGACAAGACCGAGAAGCAATGGGAGGTCTTGCATAGAAAGGCGGTGGCAATCATTCGACAATGGATTGATCAAAGCATCTTTCATCATGTTGCAAAAGATAAAAGAGCCGATGAATTGTGGCAGAAATTGGAGTCCATGTATGAGAGGCAATCGGCTCAAAATAAAGCCTTACTCATTCGAAGAATTGTGAACTTGAAGTACAAGGATGGGCATAGTGTCTCGGAGCATTTGAGTGACTTTCAAGGGCTTGTGAACCAGCTAACTACTATGAAGTTAGCACTTGATGATGAAGTGCAAGAATTGTTACTTCTCAGTTCTTTGCCGGATAGTTGGGAGACTTTGGAGGTCTCACTTAGCAACTCAACACTTAATGGCAAGTTGACGATGGACATTGTCAAGGATAGCATGTTGAATGAAGAGGCAAGGAGAAAAGAGTTGGGGATTACATCGGAGTCACATGCTTTGGTGGCGGATAATTCTGGAAGTCGTGGAAGAAGTAGAAATCAAAATTTCAACTTCAAGAACTCTCAGAATCGAAGTAACAGCCGAGGGAGATCAAAAGGGAGATCAAAATCAGTGTCAAGACCAAGAGGAGAAATCACATGTTATCATTGCAACCAGCCCGGACTCATGAAGAGAGAGTGCAGAATCTTGAAACGGAAACAAGCTAGAGGAAAAGGTGTGGAAAATCGAGAAAAAGATGATACTACTGCTGCTGCCACAGATGGTGATGTGGTCATTGTTTGTGATTCCGGTTTTGTTAACCTTGCTTGTCAAGAGAGTACATGGGTTGTTGACTCAGGTGCCTCATTCCATGTGACCTCACGGGTTGATTTTTTCTCTTCCTACACAAACGGTAACTATGGTTGTGTGAGGATGGGAAATGATGGCGCATCAAAGATTGTTGGCATGGGTGATATTCATCTAGAGACCAACACGGGTTGCAAGCTAGTCTTGAAGGATGTGAGACATGTTCCTAACATGAGGCTGAATTTGATATCCATGGGAAAGCTTGATGATGATGGTTATACCAACTATTTTGGAGAAGGAAAATGGAAGCTCTCAAGAGGTTCTCTTGTGGTGGCTAAAGGCAAGAAGGAAAGTACGCTCTACATGACGAATGCAAAGCATAGTAAGGGAGGAATCAATGTTGCTGAGAAAGATTCTTCCATTGAGCTTTGGCATAAGAGACTCGGTCATTTGAGCGAGAAGGGGCTGCAAATATTGTCCAAGAAACAACTCTTGCCCGAAGCTAAAGGTACTCTTCTTAAAACTTGTGTTCATTGCTTAGCCGGAAAAAATCATAGAGTTGCATTTCATAGATTTCCACCTTCTAGAAGGAGTAAGGTACTTGATATAATTCACACCGATGTTTGTTTTACGCGAGATAAAACTCTTGGTGGTGCAAGCTATTATGTTACCTTCATCGATGATCACTGAAGGAAGGTGTGGACATATGCTTTGAAAATGAAAGATCAAGTGCTAGATGTTTTCAAGCAATTTCATGCTGAAGTGGAAAGGGAAACCGGCCTGAAGTTGAAGTGTGTAAGGGCTGATAACGGGGGAGAGTATAGAGGTCCATTCGAAAGCTACTGCAGATTGCACGGAATTAAACTGCAGAAAAGTGTACCCAAGACTCCACAACAAAATGGTGTCGCCGAGAGGATGAATAGAACAATTTGTGAGAGAATCAAGTGTATGCTATCACATGCCAAGCTACCTAAATCATTTTGCGGAGAAGCAATGCGGATAGCGGTTGATCTAATCAATCTCTCACCATTGGTCCCATTGGAGGGTGATGTGCCTCAACGAGTATGGACGGGAAAGGAAGTCTCATATGAACACTTGCGAGTGTTCGGTTGCAAAGCCTATGTTCATGTTCCAAAAGATGAGAGAGCAAAGCTTGATGACAAAGCAAAGCCATGTATATTCATGGGCTATGGGCGTGAAGAGTTTGGGTACAGATTATGGGATCCAATTGCAAGGAAAATTGTTCAGAGTCGGGATGTGATTCTTGAAGATGAGACAAGTGAAGACGTCGAAAGAGTTGAAAAGAAGAAAAATACAGCAGCTGGTCCGGTTAATTTGGAGCCTATATCTCCATCCCAAATGCATGAAAATGTTGAGGAAGTAGTGCATGATGAGCCCTAAGGTGCACTAGATCAAGAAGTGCAATGAGAAGAGCAATTGGAGCAAGAAGAACAAGTTGAAGAAGAGCAACCTCTATCCGAACCAAGAAAGTCAACAAGAGATCGCAAAGCTTCCACTTGGTACTCCCCTCATGAGTACCTATTGTCGACTGACGGGGGAGAACCCGAATATTATCAAGAAGCCATGTCTCATGAAGACAAGGAGGAGTGGAACAAAGCAATGCAAGAAGAGATGAAGTCTTTGCAAGAGAATCACACCTATGATTTGGTGAAACTACCCAAAGGAAAAAGATCACTTAAGAACAAGTGGGTCTACAAGTTAAAGACAGAGGAAACTAGTTCAAAGCCTCGGTTTAGAGCGCGACTAGTTGTGAAGGGTTTCAACCAAAAGAAATGTGTTGACTTTGAAGAAATTTTCTCTCCCGTGGTGAAGATGTCCTCTATCCGAGTTGTGCTTGGGTTGGCTGCAAGTTTGGACTTGGAAGTTGAACAACTCGATGTGAAGACGGCGTTTCTTCATGGTGACTTAGAGGAAGAGATATACATGGATCAACCGAAAGGGTTCGTGGTTAAAGGCAAAGAAGATCTTGTATGCAGATTGAGAAAGAGCTTATATGGGTTGAAGCAAGCACCAAGGCAATGGTACAAGAAATTTGACTCATTCATGGTAAAAAACGGGTATGCAAGAACTACCTCCGATCATTGTGTGTTTGTGAAATACTTTGATGAAAATGATTTCATCATTCTCTTGCTTTACGTGGATGACATGTTGATCGTGGGTCGGAATGTTGGAGAGATTGATAGATTGAAAAAGGATTTGAGTAAATCCTTTGCCATGAAGGACTTAGGACCGGCGAAACAAATTCTAGGGATGAGAATCTCTAGGGATCGAAGGAATGGAAAATTTTGGTTGTCTCAAGAAAGGTATATTGAAAGAGTTCTTGAGCGGTTTAACATGAGCAAGGCTAAGGGGGTTAGTACTCCACTTGGAGGACATTTCAAGTTGAGTGTGAAGCATTGTCCTACAAGTGAGGAAGAGAAAGAAGCAATGAAGAATGTGCCTTATGCATCAGCTGTTGGGAGCTTGATGTATGCTATGGTTTGCACAAGGCCGGATATTGCTCATGCCGTTGGGATTGTCAGTCGATTTCTTTCCAACCCGGGGAAAGAACATTAGAGAGCAGTGAAGTGGATTCTTCGCTACTTGAGAGGTACTTCTAGAGTGTGTTTATGCTTTGGTAATGGCAAGACCATACTTGATGGATATACCGATGCTAACATGGCAAGTGATGTGGACTCTAGAAAGTCGACTTCTGGTTACATGATGACTTTTGCAGGTGCTGCAGTTTCATGGCAATCAAAACTGCAAAAATGTGTTGCATTATCAACAACAGAAGCCGAATACATAGTCGTAACAGAAGCATGCAAAGAGATGTTATGGTTGAAGAAGTTTCTTCAAGAGTTGGGCATTAAGCAAGAGAGGTATGTGCTCTATTGTGATAGTCAAAGTGCAATTCATCTTTGCAAGAATCCAACTTTCCACTCAAGGTCGAAACACATAGATGTTCGATATCATTGGATTCGTGATGTTTTGGAAGAGAAGTTGTTGGAGCTCAATAAAGTGCATACAGATGACAATGGTTCGGACATGATGACTAAGTCTCTACCAAGTGGAAAACATATCTTCTGTCGAGATGAAGCAGGTTTGGTGCTACCCCCCATATGAGCTGGAGGGGGAGATTTGTTGGGTTGGTCCAACTCATATGGTGGTTGGATTAACCGGTTTGAGTTTGAGTTTTGGTTGGTTTCTAGAAGATCCTCTATTTTCAAAATAGAGATTTATTGTCTACTTAAAAGTAAAAAGTAGTGACAACCTTTCATCTTCCTAGAGAGAGAGAATTAAGAGAAGAGAAGAGAAGAGAAGAGATAAGGAAAAAGAGAGAAGAGAGAAAGATCTGCTGTTTTTCGTCTCTACAGCAGGGCAGCCTGTTTAAGTGAGAATGCTGGAAGATTAAACCGTTGGATCGTCCTGAAATTTAGGCAGTAGATTTGGAATTTTGTGGGCTTCATTCTGACCGGAGGGATCGTCATTCTGAGGTCTAGTTCGTCGGGAATAGCTGCTGGACAGAAGGTGTAAGAATATGTTTTTGGGTACCTCTCAACCTTTCTTTGTCTTGCTCTTGTTCTTGTTATCCACCATGTTGGTGAGAGCTATTGTGGTTGATTGTTGATCCAAGAAGGGTGTTCTTGAGGTGTTTATAATCCTCTAGCTAGTCTAGAGAGGACTTGTAATCCCACCAAAGTCTAGTGGAGTTGTGGCTTGGACAAAGGTCCCGTGGTTTTTCCCGATTTGGGTTTTCCACGTAAAAATCGTGTCTCTTGTGCATTCTATTTTTGCTTGTGGTTGCTGCCCAGTTTCTCAACACTGGAAATGTTCGGGAAAACGATCGGAGACTTCACTCTGGAGAAATTGAGGGCCGATCTCTTCGACTCTCAGTTCCTAGTTAATCGGGAAGGCTACCAGGTGATGTACTACAGAAGCGACTGCTCGAAAGCTATGGTACTGGGAAAGTGCTCGTTCTGTCAGCTCAACAATATCTTCGGCTGGAGGAGGTACGGAGTGAAGCCGCCAGCGTTCACCATGGTGTGGAACAGGTACGATCGGAGCAGCGGCGAGGCGGTGGTCGATTTGGAGGAATTGGGGGAGAGGGCAAAGAGAATGGGGATGGCGGTGGAAGAACAGAGTAAAGAGTTGGGTGATTGCAAATCTAGGTTGAAGGAGAAGGAGGAGATTCTGGAACACTACAAGAGGCTTTTGGAGGAGAGCAAAGATGCGATGAATGAGAAGGAATCGGCGATGAATCGATTGAAGGAGGTGATCGAGGACAGGGATGGAGAGATTCGGCGATTGAAGTTGAGGTTAAAAGAGGCGGGTGGTAGTGGCGGCAATGGAATTGGGACAACCGGAGGTGACGAAGAATTGAAAGCGATTAGGGATCGTTTGGTCGCTAAAGAGAAACAGGTGGATGATTTCAAGGAGGCTGTCAAATGCTTTTTCAGGACGTAGAGAACTGAGAATTGCTTTGATTATGTTGTTCTAGTTCGGTAAGAAACGTGCTTGTGTTTAAAGCTCTGCTCTGTTCTTTCAAGGATCTCCCGATTAGCCATATTTGCGTATTAACAAGACTTTTATTGATTGAACAATTGGAATTTAAATACAAAACTTCAGCTTTGACACACGACATAATTAAAAAGGATTTCCCACTCGTCTCTTCTCGTGATCAGGGTCACAACACTGACTAGGTCCGTCCAGCCTTTTGAACCCAAGATCAGCTCGGCTAGCCTAGTGACAAACCAGAGTAGGCTAGGTAAAGAGCGTCAGCCCAATCCTCGAAACACATTCCAAACACAATATCTCAGCTTTCACTCCAAAGTCCAAACCTTTGGCTTCATTTCTAAGTAGGGCTCGAGCTTGACCACCTCAACATATCATCTCCTCTTTGTCTCCTTCTGAGGACTCTAAATCATGACCCGGACCCACCTACCCGAATCCTTTACTCTCCACCATGAGCTTGGCATCAAGATTCGAGCCTCAATCAAAACCCACGCTCTGTTCTCCTATAAATAGACCATTCATGTTAACTTCAATGAACTATTAAAGTTAACCTCCAAGCTATGCTCCTAAGCCTCTGTCTAACTTATACATACAGACTAGTATAAACCCATTTGCTATCACTTCGCGACTGAACGAGTACGTGATGTTTTAAAAAGTAATAGTTTGAATTTTGATATAAAAGTAAAAGGTTTGTCATCTACAACTCTATATAGTCGCCGCAACGATAAACTTTTTAGGGGTCGTTTGGATGAGTTAATTGTCAATGTGGTATTTGTAGAGTCAAATAACTCATTTATTGTTCATGTGGTATTTCAGTGTTATTTCAATGGTAATTGAAATAAAGTATCTCGTTTGGTTGAACCATGCAAATGTGATATTTGACATGTGGTATTTGGTAAAAGCAGAGTGATAAAATGAGTTATTTCGAAATTACACATGGGTATAAGTTATTTGTAAATAACTCACTGTCCAAATAACTTATTTCAGTAAAACGCTGCCAAACGAGTTATTTGCGTCCAAATAACTCATTGTGAGTTATTTGAACCCAAATAACTCATACAAATACTCTATCCAAACGACCCCCTAATAAGGGAGAAGGGTCGTAAAGCAAATGATTTTTATGTTTAAGTTGTAAACACCGGGTTCAAGTTGTTTTGATCATATTGAATACGTTGGATACCCATCGATTTAAGTGTTGAACCAAAAGGAAAAAAGATAAATAAAAAACACTAAAGCAGATAAAAATATGTCCATACCAAAAACTATACACATCGAGCTGAACTCAGCCTGACGGGTTCAAACCGATTTTTTAACAATTCACACCGGATCAGAATGCCAATTCTAAAAGCATATAAAACGCACTCTCGATACAAAACTCGTTAGCACTGGGTATGGGTTCAATTGTCATTCTCATACCAAAGGAAAAGGAGAAATAAAACCCATTAAAGCGGACAAAACTCACTCTCGATCCAAAACTCGTTCAGCTCGCTTTGACCCGGTCGAATCGAGCTCTTAACAAATTCACACTCTTCCCAACTACAAAAGCGCTAAAACTCGCTCTCGATTCAAAACTCGTAAATACCATGAGTTTGTGTAGAATTGTCATTCTTAACGAAAAGAAAGATTTAGAAATTTAAAAAATACTAATATTGATTCGAATCACTTTGACCTAGTCGAATCAAGTTGGATACCCATTAGTTTGAGTTCAATTATCATGCTTAACTCAATGTGGTGTAAAAGAGGTATTTGGAAACTTTCCCAACTTTCTCCTTATTTGTTTGTTTTGAGCACTTCTACTATGCTATATAGTATTGGTGCTTTAATGTACAATTTAAAGTTGTACCATAACATTAAATGTATAAGTTTAGGATGTACCATAAAGCAATTTGTAACATTATGTTATGGTACAACTTTACAACTTGAAGTTGTACCATCACATAAAGGTACAAGTTCAAGTTGTACCATAAAAGAATTTGTACAAAACGTATAGGTACAATCTGAAGTTGTACCATAACATAAACGTACAATTTTAAGTTGTACCATAAAGGCAAAATCCTATAGCACCAATACTATATAGCATTGTAAAATTTCTCGTTTGTTTTATCCTTATTAAAAGAGCACTTCTACTATGCTATATAGTATTGGTGCTTTAATGTACAACTTAAAGTTGTATCATAACATTAAATGTATAAGTTTAGGTTGTACCATAAAGCAATTTGTACCATTATGTTATGGTACAACTTTACAACTTAAAGTTGTACCATCACATAAAAGTACAAGTTCAAGTTGTACCATAAAAGAATTTGTACAAAAAATATAGGTACAATCTGAAGTTGTACCATAACGTAAATGTACAATTTTAAGTTGTACCATAAAGGCAAAATCCTATAGCACCAATACTATATAGCATTGTAAAATTTCTCTTATTAAAAAACCACAGTTCCATTAGTGACCTGCATCTCCTTCCCGAGCAAGTTGTTGACCACACTTGCCAAAATTCCTTCGTCATATATATAACTTCGCCCACCAGCTCCATACAGAACACAAGTGAAACTCACATCACTAACTCCAACATAATCAGAGCTTACTAACAAGAACACCATTATTACTATGTCACACTTTGTGTTGAGCTCAAACCACCTTTTCCTCTACGGCACCGGCGATGGGACCATCGTAGTACTCGACACGGGAAGCGACCTCAACAATCCAGCCAGCTCCTGCGACAACTGGAAAACCGTCGGTATCATACCCTGCTTCGCCATGGTCGACAACAACTCCGCAAAATCGACCAGCTACAAGTATCTGGAAGTGTACGGGACGGCGATCGGAGGATCCACTCTGGAGAAATTGAGGGCCGATCTCTTCGACTCTCAGTTCCTAGTCAATCGGGAAGGCTACCAGGTGATGTACTACAGAAGCGACGGCTCGAAAGCTATGGTACTGGGAAAGTGCTCGTTCTGTCAGCTCAACAATATCTTCGGCTGGATGAGGTACGGAGTGAAGCCGCCGGCGATCACCATGGTGTGGAACCGGTACGATCGGAGCAGCGGCGAGGCGGTGGTCGATTTGGAGGAATTGGGGGAGAGGGCAAAGAGACTGGGTGTGGCGGTGGAAGAACAGAGTAAGGAGTTGGGGGATTGTAAATCTAGGTTGAAGGAGAAGGAGGAGATTTCGGAACACTACAAGAGGCTTTTGGTGGAGAGCAAAGACGTGATGAAGGAGAAGGACAAGGACAAGGAGTCGGCGTTGAATCGTTTGAAGGAAGTGATTGGGGACAGGGATGGGGAGATTCGGCGATTGAGGTTGAGGTTGGATGAGGCGGGTGGTAGTGGCGGCAATGGACTTGGGACAACAGGAGGTGGTGATGAATTGAAGGAGATGAGGGATCGTTTGGTTGCTAAAGAGAAACAGGTGGAGGATTTCAAGGCGGCTGTTAATGCTTTCTTCAGGAATTAGATGTCCTAGAAATGCTTTCATTATGGTGTACTAGTTCGGTCCGAAATGTGATTTGTGTTGAAAGATATTGGGTATTAACCAGTGTTATTAAGATCAGACTGAGCCTGCCGGCCAGACCGTTAAAGCCGCCACCCGGGTGCAAAATCGGCTCGGGTCACTCATTTAGCCGCTACGGTTTTATGGAGCGGCCGAGGCGGTTAACCGCTCGTGCTGCTTGAACCGATTGCTCGGTTTTTCCCTTCCGGTCGTTATGTTTAATAAAAAAATTTGAAAAAGGAAAAAGAAAATTGAAAACAAAAGGCAAAATCGTGGGGCTGGGAAAGCCTAACTCTAATTCAGTTTTCTTCTTCGACTCTTCGTGAATAGAGGGAGAAAAGCAGCCACAAACCCTACCACCGTCAACACTTCCCGTCCTGGCTTCCCGTCAGCATCGTCACCATCCCCAGTTAGTATAGCAGCTCCCAGCTCGCCATCGCTAGTTTACGTCCCCGTCCCCTCTTCCCGTAGCATCTCCTCCGCTCCGTCGTCACTTCTAGTCCCGACGCTTCCCGTCGCCATCCCCAAGTCCTGGGTTCGCTCCCCGCTCGCATGTTTTTGGAATTGTTAAGAGTTAAGAGTGTAATATACTAATTTAGTCATGATTTAAAATAATTAAGAAGTGTCCACTATTTATACTAATTGTTTATTAGGTACTGGTTTTCTAACGGTTTTTAAACTGTTTAATGTCGGTTAGACCACTAAATACCGAGTCGTTCACATTATCGGGTCATACTCCGATTCGCTTTTGACAACATTGGTATTAACAGGATTTTGGGCACAAATGCAAATAGACTATCCTTGAAGACCCAAAGAAAAAGAAATATTAAAAGCTCTGTAACTTGGTAACGAAGTAGATCCAGATGAGGACAAAACAGAGCAGGTACCTAAAAGCTAAGCCTAAGGACTTCATTTCATTTTCAGCAGAAAAGAAAAGACTCTGGTTCTTTCCATAATGAATTCAATATTCCCTGCCTGTCGTCTTCCACTTTTTTTTTTTCTGAAAAGTTTCTCCTTGCTTAACAAGTTGTCTAGCGTTAACTTGAGTCTATGCCATATATATATAATAATAATACAACACTACTCCTTCGCCATCGACTCACCTGAACTCACGGATTCCCCCACCCAGGCGGAAAAGAAGGAAGTGAAGGGATTCGGGTTCCATAGCCAGAGCTCAGGAATCTTCTAATAAGTAATCCAAGGTAACCACCACAATGCTCTTTCTTTTTGTAAGTTAATGTGCAAATTGCCATCAATAATTTATCAGCTGATGCTTCCTTGTGGTTGTGGATGGACAGCAATGTTGTCGTCGTCGCGGTTTGTGGTGAATTCGAACTCATTCTTCCTCTGCGGCACCAGCGACGGAGTCGTTGCAGTAGTGGACACTGTTACTGATCTGAATTACCCAACCTACCGCTCCGACGGCTGGAAGATCATCGCCGGGGCAATAGGAACTGTAACCACAACCACAATCACAATCGCCAGCGCCACCATTCCGGCCGGGACGAAATTTTACAGGGGGCTGGAAATATTCGGGGCCATAATCGAAGGCAGCAGCCTGGACAAATTGTGCAAGGATCTCTTCGTTGCCCAGTTCTTAGTCAACCGAGACGGCTACCAGATCAAATACTTCGACAAAAACGCAGCGGGGGGTGAATTCGCGTTCGGAAGCAGCCACATGGTGAAGCTGAACAACATGCTCGGGTGGGAAAAGTACGGAGTGAAGCGACCAGCCACTGCCCCGATCACCGCCGTGTGGAACCGTTATGACGTGGCGAAAGGGGAGGTGGTGGTGGATTACGTGGCGGCGGAGGAAAGGCGTAGAGAGATGGATGCGGAATTGGGGAAACAGAGGAGGGAGTTGGGGCAGTTGCAGTTGAGGTTGGTGGAAAAGGAGGAGATTTTGGGGCATTATCAGCGGATTCTGGAGGAGAGTAAGGAGCTTTTGAGGGAGAAGGAGAGCGCGAAAGAGCGGCTGAGGGAAGTGATTGAAGAGAAGAACAGAGTGGTTGAAGAGCAGAGCAGAGTTATAAAGGAGAAGGAGATGGAGATTCAGAGTTTGAAGTTGAACAAGGAAGAGGCTGCTGGTGTTGGGGATGATGGAGAGTTGAAAAAGGCAGGAGAGGGTGGTGGGATGAAGGAGAAAGTGGCAGGGGATGAAGATGATGAACCCAAGGCAGCCATGGATTCGCTCTTGAGCTGTTGTAGGAAGGATTTGAAGGTGGCAATCATAGCTACGAACAGGGCTTTCTTTGTCAATGTTGTTCTGTCTTTACTTCTTGCATGCTTATGTTTCTTTCGCCTTTTTGCTTGATTGATTTAATTGCTAAATACGTTTGTGTCAAAGGTGGTAGTTTAATTTTGGTGTTAAGAACTAAGAAGGTTTTAGTTATGCTCTTGCCTATGAAAAATTAGTTGGTTTCATTTTGGATGCCGTATACCATAGCGAAAAAAATCTAAAATTATCATTGTTTTAAATTTTATTTTTGCAAAAACCGCTCCACGTAGGGACAGTTAAAACACAAACCGCCCACCCATGCGACAGTTTACCATGGAACTGCCTGTTAGATAAGCGGGTTGTGTTTTTCGGGGAAAAAGCGCTATCCGAAGGAGCGGTTTTTATGGCTGCTCTAGCACAAACCGCATCCTTTGGAAGCGGTTATGTGACGGCAAGGTAAAACGCTCCTCAGGGAAGCGGTGTACCATGTCGACACATAACACCCCCCCCCCCCCCCCCCCCCCCACCACCACCACCCAGCGGTTTGCGCCTCGTCACCCGACAGGCGACATGTAGGAGGTTGCAGGGGTGGGGGCTGCATGCCAGACTAAAACTGCTCCCCCTGCGGTTTCCAGTGTCAAATTTGCCTATAAAAGGCAGGTCCAGAAAACTCAAAATCCTCACTCCACTCCTTCTTCTTCTTCAAATTTCAGTTGTGCACCTTTAAATTATTTAGTTTTTGCGATTAATGTTAATTCGTAAGTTTGTTTTGTATTACTTTTCATTGTCATTTGTGATTTTTATGATAGTAACTTAATTACAGTCTTATTGCATATGGCATTCCAAAATTTTACGCTTGGGTTACATTGGAATAGTTACACGGAAGAGACCGGAAAGGGTGTAAGTTACGTGTGTGGCAATTTTTATAAAATGAATGTTCGTACGAGACCGATGCTTGAAGAGCTCCATCAGATGTGTACTGAGGTTACCTGAATGGATAACACTAGAAGAGTTGATCGTATGGTGTATCGATATCCAAACAGACATGGCGGGTCGTTGTGGAATGAGGAATTCATCATGACCACTCAGGAGGATGTTGATGCCATGGTCCAATTTTTTTTTACCACCAATAAGATTAAACAAGCGGAGATGTTCGTTTACACTGAGGCGGTCGAAGGCGGTGTAGGTCATTCTAGAGATGACCAAACATCTGGTATCCACGGTGGGAATGTATTATATGCAGATCATCCCCTCGCGGAGTACTAAGACCGGAGCTAGAGCCAGGAGTATCATGATGGAACTGGAGTTCATCATCAATCCTTCTCAGCATATGAATAAGAAGCTCAACAGGCGGATGTGAACCAACAAGCAGGCTACCAGTACCACTGAGTACAACTTCTACCAAAGCTGCGTTAGTTACCACAACTACCATTACGGAGCTGATGAAGGTGAAGGTGTCAAAGAAGAGGAAGGCGATGTCAGCGCAGACAGCTTCGATCCTCTTGAAAGTGCTGATGATTTTGGTCCAGATTCAGACGCAGACGGCGATGAGGTGCCTCTCAACCGTGTACCTATCCCGTACTACAATCACATTCAAAATGAAGATTGGTATGTTGATGCCGACATGGACCAGCTAGAGGTGCCAATATAGGGTCCGCTCACTGGCTTTTCGAAGGGTCAACAATTTGCAACGAAGAATAATGTTCGGCACGCTATTGGCACAGAAGCAATGACTCGGAGTTTTGAATGGCACACAACCCCACGATAGCATAACAACAACATAAATCAATTAGTATATAAATTAAATAAAAACATTATAACAACAACAAAAATTGGGTAAAATGAGGAGATTTTTCGAGAAATAGCACTGTTTAAAAAAAAAAATTCAAAAATAGCACACAGCCCCGAAAAATTCCAAAAATAGCACCATTTCCCAAAAACCGCCACCCGAATCAGCGGTTTAAACAAAAACTGCCACCCAGGGCGCGGTTTTCACCCACCGCATGGGGCAGGGGCGGTTTGGTTGCAAACCACACCCCACCCTGCAGTCTATAATATATATTTTGTTTTCCAAATAAATGTAATAAGTGGTCTCGGCACAATTGTTTTAGCTGTTTATTGTATGCAAGAAGTCCTGGGTTCGAATCCCCAACATTCTATTTGATTTGTTTTTGTTTTTAAGAGATTAAAAAAAAATAACATGTTGCGGGAGTGGTCATTCAAACCCAGATAATAAATAATTTACTAAATTTAGCACAACACCTACACCACTCAACTACAACTCTTCTCTTGAGACAATAATATATGACAAAGTTTTACTCCTTGAACGATAAAAATATTCAATAACTTTAAACAATCATAACTTTGTGCTCTAAAATCCGAACGTCATGAATTTTTTTTCATTTCACATAACTTTTTAAGGACTACAATTTTTACTAGGAATGAATTTTGAAAACATGAATTATTTTTCGATATACAGGGTTTTTTGAATAGCTTACATTCCCTTTTCACAAATCCACGTACATTTAGAAATGATGTTTATGATAAACGTTGTAGTCCCTAAAAAGTTATGCAAAATGAAAAAAAAAATTCATGACGTTTGGATTTGGAGCACAAAGTTATGACCGTCCAAAGTTTGACGAAATCGGAAAAAGATCGTTCGGGGTAGCAAACGACATTTTTTTCGGGACGAAGGCGGGATCAAACAGCCTACGACCATTTGCGACTTGCATGATCACAAAAACTTATGCGGAATAAAAAAAATCGCGATGATCAGATACCCGAACACAAAGATACTTTTGTTTGAAATTTCCGCCTTGGTTAGGATTTTTCAAAAAGAGAGAGAGAGAGAGAGAGAGAGAGAGAGAGAGACTAAACCGCAGGGTGGGGTGCGGTTTGCAACCAAACCGCTCCGGCTCCATGCTGTCAGCAAAACCGCGCACCCTGGTTGTAGATTTCGTCTAAACCGCTGGTTCAGGTGGCAGTTTTTGGGAAAGAGTGCTATTTTTGGAATTTTTCGGGGTTGGGTGCTATTTTTGGAATTTTTTTTAAAAGTTCTATTTCTGGAAAAATCCCTAAAATGAGTATACCTCTTGATAATCATCATAGTAAATACCCTCTTCTTTGACAAAATCGGCCATTTTGTTAAGGATCCAGACTAAGATTCGACGGCTTTTTAGTGAAAACCAAAGAAAATTTTTTTGAAGGCAGATCGGACTTACATGCAACCAACAAAACAACTACTTCCAAGGTTTTTGGGTGGGGAGGGGGATGAGTAGAGTGAGAAACTAAGAAAGAGAGAGGAGACTGGGTTTAGAGTGAAGAAACTGAGAGGAAGGGGTAGGTATTTATAGGGCAGGAACCGCGTGCTGGAGGGGCGATTTGGTATTTTTACCCCACCAAAAACCGTGCCTCCAACACACGGTTTACGCTTCCCAACGCGCAAACCGCACCCTTGGGCAACAGTTACCAATCCACGACGCGGATCGCTCCGCTGGCAGGCGTCAGCCGTTAGATCGCCTGCCCATCGCGCGGCTGTATGGACCGCCACGTGGTTGTGCAGTTTTGCAGATGTCCAATGGCAAACCGTCGCTTGCCCGCGTGGTTTGAAAGAGAAACGCGCCTTTGAGGCGCGGTTTATGAGGGATGGTGGTAGATTTGGAATTTCCTCGGAATGGGTGGTACTTTTGTAAAAAAAAAAAATTAAAACAGTGGTAGTTTTGGATTTTTTCTCACTATAGCCCAGTTGTTTATACCGCAACTAGTAAAAGCCAGCTCGTTATCGCTTTGTGCATCAGAAAAATAAATATTTTAACGATTAATAGTTTTAATGTTGACCCAAAGTGAAAGTAATCTTATTTCATTTTTAATAATTCTTTTCATAGGTTTGTTATTTATAATAGCATATGGTCGATGAACTTGTATAAGGTAGAAGGGTCGTCAAATAGTTTGTTAATGTTTAAACTTCTTTCACGACGCTATTGTATCAATTTGTATGACTGGTAGTTGATCATGTTGTAACTTTTGCATAATGAAGTAGCTTCTCTAGATCTTTTCAAAAAGTATTAAAAAAACAGTTGAGTGTTTAGTTGAAAAATTATCAGGATTACTTTCTAATATAAGAGGTAATTTAAAATTACTACAAAGGAAATCTAACATAACATATGAATACAAATTCTAAAAAAAAAAGTATTTAAAATGGATCACGTTATATTTATATCACATAAAATAATACTATTTTAATATTTTATGATAATAATATAAATGAAATAGATTTATGTTTTCTAGAAAAATGAATAATATATGGTAAGGACAATTTTTTATTTATAAATCGGAGATTATGCTTTTAAGTTACGGAGAAATCCAACTTTTCAAGAAGCGAAACTTAGAGGTGTTTTGCTTGGCTTCAACTTTTGAAACATATATCTTCTATAATTTGGGCCATACATAGTCGTACTCTTTAGGATTTTTTTGGGTTTGTGGTAATCGTGGTTCTCCTTTATGAAATTTTTGGAATGATTGAAGGTTGGAGTAGGTTCAACTCACATTGATCGGGTCAAATTAGGTTGGATACACATGCATTTGGGTCCAATTGTCTTTCTCAAACAAAAGGAAAAGCAAAATGAAAAACACTAAAGCTAAAACTTGCTACCGACTCAAAACTCGTCAACACCAGGTTCAACTCGCTTTGACCTGGTTGAACCGATTTTTGAGCAAATTCACACCTGACACAACCAGCCAATTACATAAACAGATAAAACTCGCTCCGCCGAAAACCTGTAAAACCGGGTTCAACTCATTTTGGTCGGGTCGAATTAGGTTGGGTACCAATGCGTTTGGACTCAATTGTCATTCTCAACCAAAAGGAAAAAGATAACAAAAATACTAAAGCGGATAAAACTCGCTCACGACCCCGAACTCTCAACACTGCGTTCAACTCGCTTTCGGGTAAACCAAGTTTTAACAAATCACAATTTACTCAACCCATCAATTGCAAAAACGGATAAAACTTGCTCTTGATACGAAACACGTCAACAATGGGTTAGAGTTCAGTTGTCATTCTCAACGAAAAGAAAATTGAGAAATAAAAAACATGAAAGTGTACAAAACTCGCTTTCAATCTAAAACTGGCCAACAATGTGTTCAACTTGCTTTGACCAATTTTTTAACAAATTAACACTTGCTCCAATCTGTCAATTACAAAAGCGGATAAAGCTCGCTCACAATACAACCCTCGTCAGTACCTGAGAGTCAGGTTCAATTATCTTCCCAACCAAAAGAAAAAAAAGAGAAATTTATAAATACTAAAGTTGGTTTCAAGTCACTTTGACAGGATCAAATTAGGTTGGATACACATGGATTTGGCTTCAATTGTGATCATGCATAACAAAAAGGAAAAAGAGAAAGAAAAAAACACTAAAGAGGATGAAACTCGGTCCCGATATAAAACTAATGGTAGCTGTCTTGGGAAACAGTGGTGGGGAAAAAATTAGGAATCCGCCGACAGTATTTCGAGATGAGCTGCGAAATGGTGGGCAAAGACGATGATTTGTGCAAAAAACCATACCCGAAAACCTAATGGATAGTTGTTGCATAAGGAGTTGAAAACCTAGTAGGCAATAATTGTTATGGGAAACACAATGGACAATAGATGTAAACCTAGCAAACAATAACTAAACTGTAGAATGTAGAGTGAGGTAAAAAATGGACTTGGAATTTCCCTGCTTGCACTTGGTGCGAAAAGGCGATTATTTGGGTTCAAGTTAGGATACCCATGTATTTGTGTTCAATTGTGATCATGCTCAACAAAAAGGAAAAAGAGAGGAAAAAACACTAAACTGTAGAATGTAGAGTGAGGTAAAAAAAAGGACTTGGAATTTCCCTGCTTGCACTTGGTGCGAAAAGGCGATGATTTGGGTTCAAGTTAGGATACCCATGTATTTGTTTTCAATTGTGATCATGCTCAACAAAAAGGAAAAAGAGAGGAAAAAACACTAAAGAAGATTAAACTCGGTCCCGATACAAAACTCGTGGTAGCAGCCTTGGAAAACGGTGGAGGGAAACGACTTAGAATTCCGCAGACGGTATTTTGAGATGTGTTGCATGATGGTGGGCAAAGGCGATGATTTGAATCCATTGATGAAAACCTAGTGGATAGTTGCTGCAATAGAAAGCTGAAAACCTAGTAGGCAATAATAGTTATGGGAAACGCAATGGACAATAGATGTAAACCTAGCGAACAATAGCTAAACACAAAGGTTGTAGTGGAAAGTAGGGTAAAACCTAGTGGATAGTTGTTGCAATAGGGAGCTGAAAACACAGTAGGCAATAATTGTTATGGGAAACACGATGGACAATAGATGTAAACTAAGCAAACAATAGCTAAACACAAAGGTTGTAGGTTGGAGATTGGGGTAAAAGAAGGACTTGGAACTTCCCTACTAGCACTTGGTGCGAAAAGGCGATGATTTGGGTTCAAGTTAGGATACCCATGTGTTTGCGTTCAATTGTGATAATGCTCAACAAAAAGGAAAAAGAGAGAAAAAAACACTAAAGAGGATGAAACTCGGTCCCGATACAAAACTCGTGGTAGCGGTCTTGGAAAACGGTAGTGGGAACAACTTAGGATTCGCCTACAGTATTTTGAGATGAGCTGCAAAATGGTGGGCAAAGGTGATGATTTGTGCAAAAAGCCATAGAGGAAAACCTAGTGGATAGCTGCTGCAATAGAGAGCTAAAAACCTAGTAGGCAATAATTGTTATGGGAAACACAATGGACAATAGATGTAAACCTAGCGAACAATAGCTAAGCACAAAAGTTGTAGAATGGAAAACTGGGTAAAAGGATTTGGAACTTCCCCACTTGCACTTGGAGGAGTGTGAGAGCCACTGATTAATAGTAACTCTAATGTTAGGCTTTTATATATTAATTGTTTGTTGGAAAATGAATAGGACTTGGCAGTTGGCAAGAATTGAGTTTTGGATTTGAGTATTAAGGGGTGGTTTGGAGAGAGGATTACTAAAAGTGATAGATTGTTAGGAGTATTTGGAATTTGGATTTGAGTGATGAATTTTGAAACTATTAGGATAATACGTTGTAACAAGTAAATAGTGTGTTATTGATTGTGATTTGTCTCTTGTTAAAGTTCCAAATTTAGATTTTCAAATGAATGTGACTGATGCATTTTGAAAATGTTATTGTTTAGACTTTATAGCACACATTCTAGCAAGTAAATTGTTCGTAGTCGATGGTGATCACTTTTATGCTAAAGTTTCACTTTGTCTTCAAGGTTAATACAGAGTCTATGTCCCAAAATACCCAAGCTACTATTCCAATTCCCAAAACACTACAGTATAACTCTACTAGGCAGTTTTTCCAAAATATTAAGTTTGGGCACAAGCGGTATTCTTGCTGAAGGAAGCGATAGAAGTGACGAAACATTGAGAAACTAAGCGTGTTCAAATTCAATAAAGGTTGTAAGAACTAGTGCTTTAACTTAAAAATGATGCTAGGTGGAGTGAAACAGGTGTAATGCATTGGTGACTGGTGAGTACTGAGTAGCAATTCTTTTATTTATTTCACACGAATTGCTATTCGCAGTAGCATATTACGATGAGTGGCATAAATCATTTGACTGGGAAGCAATATGCACTCTAATTTGTCCATTCAATTGGTTGCATATCACTAGCATTTAGTAGGGCTAGAAAACGGTGTGATCTGGTTCAGATCAGACTATATAACGGTTTACGATCCAGATTGAGAGATTAAAGTATAGACCAGAGACCAGAATTATACAGTTCACACTAGACCACGCTTGTGCGATATGGTCCGGTACGGTCTGATTCAGATAGACCACATTGAAAGAAAAATGAATACTTTGTTAAGTCAACCGCACTAAAGTTGAACCAATCACTAAGAAAAAAAAATTAGTTTTTGCCTTAAAACATAAAATCTAACATGCATGAATAGTTTTGACACCCTAAATCATAGTAAATAACAAAGATACCAAGTCGAAGAATCCCAACTCACAACATAACATCACAAACATTAACATAATGTCATATGGAGACATGATCGTCTCTACTCTCTAGTGAAATGTGGTTGTGAATGAAGAAGGAGACGAGATTCTCACAATTAAGGTTGAGACTTGAGTCTCGTTGGGGGAGTGTGGAGAGTGGAGAGCGGACCAAACTCTGCAATCTGGTTTTCAAATGGTTTTATAAACGGTCTGGTCTATTTTCACGAATGTGGGGTCGATCGGATGGACGGGAAACGTTTTACGAATGTTGCTACGTCGCCCTCACACACCTATAAATACCCTGCCCCCTCACTCGGTAGAAGTCACGCCATTCTTCACTCTTATCTCTCTTCCTTCAACACTCAAGGAATTCTTAGTAAACTAGGTGGTTGCAGCTAAGCATGATCTTCCACCTGTGAAATGTTTTCCATGGATTTCTGACAGGACCCTCTCTAAAAAAATATTGGCGACACTCTGCTTGACCTCCGTCAAAAATGGAGGAAGAAGCTTTAAGGGTATTTTTAGTTTTTTTTTTTATCATTCAATTCTATTGAATTATGATTTATTAAAGAGAGTTATTGACGAAATGCTATACGACTCATGTATGAGTAAAACCATGATTACTCGTTGAAAATCTTTGTTGTCTATATGATTTCTTAATGAAAATTATCTTCGTACAAAACTTTGTTATAAAAAATCATTGAAAAACTACAATCACTCCTCATCATTGTTTTTTAATCAAACAAACTTTCATTTATAAGATATTATTTATCAACAATTATCATCGTGAATGCTATAAGAGAGCAATGTCTCAGTAGAAAACCATGAATCCTCAATGAAAATCATTGATTGTTTATTGGAAAAGTTATCGTTATAATTGATTAGATGAATCTTGTTTTTATCTGTTGCTAGACGGGAGTCTAGCATTATGATTTTTCAAACTTACATAAAGTATAGGCAAGAGATCCTGAGGCTATGTAGATATTAGTTTCGTTTAACTTGTTGGACAGGAATATAGGATTTGAGTGTTTAAACTAATAACAATCTTCGAGTTAGGAGAGTGAGTGAGATGGATAGATCACAATAAGGCAATTACCCATCATCTTACGAGTGACGTCCATTGCTCTTATGAGTTTCTCAAAAAAAAAAAAAAAAAATAGAATTGACCATTTCGTTACAAGTTTGAAGTGCATAATCATTTTGAAAAGGAAAAAAAAAAAAAACTCCATGAAGATTTTATAAAGATACGAATAATATGGGGACATATTATTGGTATAATTATCTCTTTTCATAACACTTTCCCCCAAGTCCCAAGTCCGATCGCGTTTCCACCACTATTCTCCTTCTCCGCCCCGTACTAGGACTAGGTTGTGGTGCTCAAGTCTAGGGTTTCCATATAAATTCCCAAATCACAATTGGCGGCTGTATGATTATGAAGTCTAGCCTCAAGCGGAACCAGCGACAAGGAAGCAAGCAAACAGAGCATCAATGTCGTCGTCCTCCTCCTCGCGATTCGTGGTGAACTCCGACGCCTTGTTCATCTGCGGCACCGGCGATGGCGCCATCTTGGTAATCGACGCTGGAACTGATCTGAATCACGCCTCCTACTCCTCTCTGACCTGGAAGATTGTGGCGGCCGTAACTACCAACAAACTCACCGGCGCGCCCATTCCGCTGGGGACGATGGTACACAGGGCGCTGGAAATATTCGGGACGGTGATCGAAGGCGGCGACCTGGACAAATTGCAGGGCGAGCTCTTCGATTCCAAGATTCTGGTCAACCGCGACGGCTACCAGGTCAAGTACTGGAACAAGAACGGGAACGCAGCTGGTGGATTCGTGATCGGAGGCAGCGATATGGCGAAGCTGAACAACTTGTTCGGTTGGGGGAAGTACGGGGTGAAGCCGGCGATGACCACCGTGTGGAACCGCTACGTGGCCAGAGGGGAGGTTGTGGTGGATTACGTGGCGGCGGAGGAGAGGCGGAAGGAGACGGCGGCGGAGTCCGAGAAACAGAGGAAGAAGTTGCGCGAGTCGGCTTTGAGGGCGGCGGAGAAGGAGGAGATTGTGGGGCACTACAAGCGGATTCTGGAGGAGAATAAGGAGGTCATGTGGGAGAAGGAGAGTGCGAAAGAGCGGCTGAGGGAAGTGATTGAAGAGAAGAACAGGGTGGTTGAAGAACAGAGCAGGGTTATCAAGGAGAAGGAAGTGGAGATTCGGAGCTTGAAGGCGGAGAAGAAGAAGAAGATTGAATCTGAAAATGGGACTGGGATTGGGGATTCGACATTCCTTCTTTTCTGCTTTTTTCTCTTTTTTCTCTTTTTTGTTTCTGTTTGTATAAGCATTAGTGTGGAGCCTTTCTATTGTGCTGTATAGCACCCATGCTATAAAAAACAAAAAATAAAAGGTGACATGTTGAGGAGGTAAATCCACTAAAGGACTGGTCCCGCATCATTAATGGCAATCTTGTAAATAATGAATCAATGTATACAAGTGTAGGTGCAAATTAGAGTTGTACCATAACGTATAGGTACAAGTTTCAGCTCTACCATTGAAGAATTTGTTTCACAAAGTGTAAGTACAACTCAAAATTGTACCTAGCGTGTAGATATAATTTTAGGTTGTACCATAGAGTTTTTTTTTTTTTTTGTAAAATTGTAGGTACAACATAAAGTTGTACTATGGTATAGGTACAGGTTTGGGTTGTACCGCAGAAAGATTTTGAGAAAGTGTAGGTACAACTTAAGGTTGTACCATTTGTATAGGTACAATTTTGCGTTGTACCATAGAGGGATTTGTTAGAAAGTGTAGGTACAACTTAAAGTTGTACCATGGTATAGGTACAAGTTTGGGTTGTACCATAGAAGGATTTTTAGAAAGTGTAGGTACAACTTTAAGTTGTACCATGGTATAGGTACAAGTTTGGTTTGTACCATAGAAGAATTTTGAGAAAGTGTAGGTACAATTTAAGGTTGTACCATTAGTATAGATACAATTTTGAGTTGTACCATAGAGGGATTTGTTAGAAAGTGTAGGTACAACATTAAGTTGTACCATTGTGTATAGGTACAATTGTGAATTGTACCATAGAAGATTTTTAGGAAAGTGTAGGTACAACTTTAAGTTAAGTGTAAATGTACAACTCTAGAAAGTGTAGGTACATCTTAATTCCATGGTTGTTATTTTGCTAGAATGAGCCGTGAGAACGTTTGAGTGGTAGCTGTGTGTTTCAATTTCACGTGAGATTTTGACAGGCGTGAGAATTCAAGTAGTAGCCGTGAAATTTTCTGGGATAGTGAGAACTGCTCTTTGCATGTCACGGGACATCTCACGACCGTGATATTTGCCTGAGGAATGAAGCACTGCTTTTTACATCTCACTTGAGTATTTTACGGTCGTGAGATTACCAGTATAAGGTGTCAGATTTCCAGTAGGAGACTTTCACCTGTTGAACTATCCCCTGTACTTATTATAATGATGTTTCAAACAGAATGGACTTTTTTACCAGAACTTCAAACTTATGAAAAAGATGATTCATAATGTTCTCTAAAGCTTGACACGAGCACAACATAGATCCATTCACAATGTTGTCTAGTAACCGTACATCATATCAGATGAGATGACCTATTAACAAAAAGTAAAAAGTAGTCAAAGCATTACATTTGTCTAATAAAACAAGCATCCATAACGTGATTAAATCTGTCTAATTAATGCTTAAGTTTAGCTGCATGTAGCCCACACCGGTGCATCATCATATTCTAATTGGAAAACATACAAGCACAAACGCAAACACACATAGCTAAGTACTAAGGACTTTGGTTGGCTCATCTTCACTGCCCATCTTCCTCGTCAGTGTTCTCGTCCTCGTCCTCGTTTTCCTGGATTTACTCATCTTCATTGTTCTCGCTAGAGTCACTGCCCTCTTCCTCATTGGTCCCTTTGTCCTCTTGATTTCTTTCTTTGCTTTGGTCATCGCCATTGCCCTCGTCGTCCTCTTCACTGCCCTCTTCCTCATTGGTCCCTTTGTCCTCTTGATTTCTTTCCTTGTTTTGTTCATCGCCATTGCCCTCGTCGTCTTCTTCATTGCCCTCTTCCTCATTGGTCCCTTTGTCCTCTTGATTTCTTTCCTTGTTTTGTTCATCGTCGTTTCTCTCTTCGTCCTCTTCACTGCCCTCTTCCTCATTGGTCCATTTGTCCTCTTGATTTCTTTCCTTGTTTTGGTCATCGTCATTGCCCTCGTCATCATCTTCACTGCCCTCTTCCTCATTGGTGTCATTCTCCTCTTCACTGCTTTCCTTGTTTTTCTCATCGTCATTACCCTCGTCATCCTCTTCACTTCCCTCTTCATTCTTTCCTCGGTTGGCTTAGGAGATAGTTCCCAAGGTCTTGAGAATTTTTTGTAGTCAATCATCAAGGACCTCGTGATGTGATGGTTGCATTTGATTATGTAGCTGTCGCTGGATGGTCCTACTTGAGTCGTAGTTTGGTGATGTTGTGCAGGTTGTTCCGAAGTCTCCTCTACCATTTGCTGAACAACATGCTCCGATGCGTTTGCCTCATCCGTTGCAAGAGGTGGAGTAGGATGAGGGAGACCAACAATGCCTAGCACACCATTCTCCTTAACCACCAAACATAGACATGATCATTATCAGAAGCATTAGTTACATTTGCTCAATGTTCAAAAGGAACTAGATTAGTAGGCAATCCAAAACTTGCACAAAATCAATCCTAGATTGTTTGAATCCCGTCTAGTTCTGTTTTAGCATTCATTGTGAAAAGGAAAGTGTTGGTTGGAACATTTACCTTTGACAACAAATATAGATCCGCAAGGTTTTTTTGGGAGATTGGTTGAGTGGACTGGGAAATGGTGAAATGAGAACCCACCGGATCAATGCCAAAATGCCGAGCTAGCCTTGTGATGTAGGCAGCTCCATGGATGGTCTTAATTTTTTTGTTGGAGGTCATATTCTGTAGGGTTTTCAGTATGAGTAAACCAAGATGAATTGGGGGATCTTTTACCATAGAGAGGAAAAAGTTCGAATCCCGCTTGGTCACACTCCCCAGGCTCCCCTCCCTAGCTGCCACAGAATGAGCGATAATGTTGTGGATGATACGCCATGGGGGAAGAAGATCATTCCCTTTATAGTGGGCAGTGTCAGACTTTGCCACATGGTTTTGTTTTACCGTTCTCCACATAGCATTGACCAATGGTGCTCTTGGTGAATATATTTTCTCTGAAATCAAACCATGTCCATCTGTAGTGAGAAATCCTGGTGGGTATATCTGGAGTGCCTCTGTGAACTCAGTGATGCTCATCTGTCTCGCCTGTCCTCCAAGGCGAAAAGTTATGTTGTCTTCGGGCTTTTCGAGGTTAAACTCAGACATATACTTGATGGAGAGAGTGCTGAGGAACTCAATGGTAAGCTCTCGGTAGATGACCTCATTGATGGAGAGAACCTCACACCATGCCGGGAGGTGGAGGCATGTGCGAACAGGGTCCGCTGCTCCAAGGCGCTCTAGGAGATCCCAATCAAAGCATCTTTGCTGCCCACATGGGAGGGGAAGGAAGCGCTCCAAAGCCCTCCTATGTTCGTCGGGTAGTTGGAGGAAGACGTGCAGTCCCCCTCCTCCAAGTTGAGCCTTCGTTTGTGGTGGTGGTGGTGGTGGTGCTGGTGGTGGTGGTGGAGATGGTTGACGCGTCCGTCCTTGGTTGTTTTTGCGTTGTCGTTTGGGGGGGAGTGTCTCTTTGTTGGGTTTGGCGGCGATGACGAGAAGGAGCCTTCACTTTGGCAGGTGAGGCTGATGATTGCGTGGTTTTTTGTTTAGCTTCTTTCCCCATTCCTACGAAAACCAACTAAGCACATTTTGTCTTTAGTGAATGAGAGGGAAAAGAATTATGCATAAGCATAGAAATTCACAAATCAAGGAATCTGGTATGCATTCCAGTTTTCAACAAAGATACTGGAAGATATAGACTTACAGACTTCTCCCTTGACGTCTCTTTGAGTATTCCATCCTCGTCGATCTCCAAGGTATCCTCTACTATTGTAACTCCCCTTGGAGCTGGGGTGATAGTGGACAGAACAAATTTTCCAAGCTTGATGCAATCCTTGGTCAAGGGTCTTTCACCCATTGCATCCCTCCCACTCAAAACTTCTCTCTATGTATTTCGATCTCTCTGTATTTCAATCTCTCTCTGTATTTCGATCTTCATCTCTTTGCTTCCTTCCTTGTCCAAGGATAGTATCGAGCTTGGAAAATTTGTTCTCCTTGCTTCCTTCCTTAGAGATCGACGAGGTGGAATACTCAATGTGACGTCAAGGGAGAAGATCCTAGGAGCATTGTAATCACGTCTACACCATCATGATCAGTTAGAACCATGTCAATGCTCACTGCAAGGTATGCATTCCAGTTTTCAACAAAGATACTGGAAGATATAGACTTACAGACTTCTCCCTTGACTTACTGCCTTCTGGAGAAGTCATCCCACCAATCCAAAGAGCATCGAGAAGCTGCTGAACCAGCAAGTTCTAGCGTTGAATACAATGTATGCCTTTAACTTGGGAGACAACAAGTTCTAGTGTAACATACAATGTAGGATCATAACTATTAGGAATGTAATCACAATTAGGAATTCAAAACCCTAATTCAAACCAACCTTGGGCAACTAAACCCTAAAAAATGTAAGAAACCAGGGAAGAATGCCGCTGTGGTTAAGAAAAACTCACCAGAGGCACTGTGGGGATCGGAGTGGAACAGAGGGCAGAGACTCGTGGGGAAATGGTCTCCATCGCTGCTGAACCTTGGAGCAGTTACCAGGAGGAGGAGTCGTGGGGAAGTGGTCAGCGGCGGAAGAATCTAAGAGTAGTTACCAGGAGGAGTCGAGGGCGAGCGAGCGAGCGAGGGCGAGGGCGAGGGTTGGGGGTCGAAGTAGAACAGAGGGATAAGAGGGTTGGGGGTCGAGTTCTAGTAGAACAGAGAAAGTTTTAAATAGGGAATTTCAAATTTTAGGGTTCCATCTCACGGCTTTTATACCGGGCGGGATATTGCCAACTCTAACCCGTGAAAACCCCTGGAACTTCCCCCTTTTTTAAAAAGAATCTAACGGTACATCTCCCGGCCGTGAGATTTCAGTTATGAGGAGTGTTTTTGGATTTCAGCTGCGAACATCTCACGGGTTAATCTCACGCCCGTGAGAATTTACAGATGAGCCGTGAGAAGTCCAAAATTTCAAATCCAAAACCACGGCTCATCTCACGACCATGATATTGTCAAAGCCAACCCGTGAAAACCCCTGGAACTTCCCCCCTTTTTTAAAAAAAATCTAACGGTACATCTCTCGGCCGTGAGATTTCAGTTATGAGGCGTGTTTTTGGATTTCAGCTGCGAACATCTCACGGGTTAATCTCATGCCAGTGAGAATTTACAGATGAGCCGTGAGAAGTCCAGCATTTCAAATCCAAAAACACGGCTCATCTCACGGCCGTGATATTGTCGAAACCAACCCGTGAAAACCCCTGGGAAACTGAGAAGTGCATTTTTACATCCACGGCCTCTCTCACGGCCTTTCTCACGGACGTGATATTTCTAGAATTTCAAATCCAAAAACACGGCTGCTTTCACGGCCGTGAGATTTCCAGAATTGGCCGTGAGATTTCCAGAAATAGTCTGCACAGACATTCACCTGTAGAACTAACCCATGTACTTATTATAATGGTGCAAGAAACATAATATACTGTTTTTGAAAACTACAAGCTTATGAAAGGATGAGTCATAATGTTCTTTGAAGCTAGACACGAGCATTACATAGATCCCTTCAATGTCACTAGATACTAACTTGCACAAAACAAACATTACAAGATGAAACATAATTTTGTTTGAAGCCGAACACCAGCATTACAGGTTGTGCTTGGATCGTTTGGGAAGTAGAACAGATTCTTGAGTCTCCACATGAAAGCTGCTTTACCTGCTCCTATGGACTCGAAGTTGTATTCTTGTTGCGTGAAATGACTATCACCTGCACCTGGTTCAGCCATTCTTTTCAGCGGACAATTTCTGATTGTATGTTTAGGACGCCTACAATACTTGCACAACCGTGTTTTTACTTGAGGTTGCTTCACATTACCTTTACTTCGAACTGGATGGGGGTCCTTAATAAACTGAGAGGAGTTCACTCCAGCGTCCATAGTAGCATTATTTGTTTTTCTGGTTATTTTTTCACTTATTATCTTCACTCGCAAGGTCAAGTCTTTAATCAACCCTTTGGCAGTATGAAATGCTTCATCCGAACTCACAGCTTAATGGCACATTCTACTACATTGACCAACCAAGAATCCATACCTGTCCAAATAAACAAGCACTTTTGTAGTTGGTTCCAAGCACAATAGAAGTAAACAAAGAACTAAATCAACAGCTTCAATTTATAATACCTGCTAATATTTTGTTGGGTAGGACATCTTCCCATACTCGATGGATCGAACTCTTTTGCATCTTTAGTCCAACGCTTCAAAATGAGTGACTTTGGAATTTGTATTTGATTTTCTACTTTGAATACACAGAATATATGTCGACATGGAATTCCGCAGAACTCAAAAATGCCACAAGAACAATGCACATCATGTCCACTCGTGTAAAAGACCACGGTGCACTTTGGGTCAGGGTATTTGAATCGTGACAATGTGTAAATTGTTTTATTGGTCAACACACACTTGTCTGTAATATAGTAATGAACTTCTCTTGCTATTTCTGCTCGAACGCTCCTGAACACATTTCATGTAAATACTATAGAGGCATGTCTTTCAATTTCATGTAAATGTGTCATCAAAACAACATCAGTATGTATTTTCTTAAACTCGTCATGTAACTCAGTTTGTCTCCTATACAAAAGTGCCATGTCAAACTGCTTGACAAGCTCAAACAACTTCATCTTACTTTGCAAGAATTTGTCTAGATAAGAGTTCATGCTCTCACAACGTTGTGACGTAGTCATCCCAGCAAAGAAAGTACCTTTCAAGTAAGTTGTGGCCCATAGAGCTCGTCGCCTATACATCTTCTTCATCCACGCATTGTGCTCCAGGTCATACTTGGACAAAATTTCCTTCCACGTAGCTTCAAATTGTGGAATAGAACTGCAGTTTAGCATGCATTGTTTGAAATCCTCCCGGAAGCCTTCCGCATGGCCACGCGCTTCTGCGTTATTGCCCAAGTGCCAAGAACATAACCGATGTCGGGATCCAGGGAGAACCGACTTGATAGCTTTCCTCATTGAAGAAAAACCATCTGTTATAACTGCGGTTGGCTTCTTACCACCCATGCAATGTAAAAAAGCATTTAGAATCCATACGTAGTTCTCCGTCGTTTCATCCGCAAGTAAAGCACATGCAAAAACAGTGCTTGCATTGTGACTATTCACACCAATGAATAGAAGAAATGGAAGATTATATGCATTAGTCTTGTACGTCGAGTAAAAAACAAGAACATCTCCAAAGAGACTATATCCAATTGTGAAGTAGAGTCAGCCCATATTGCCTAGTTCACCACCATCACTTGCTGTATATCTACAATAAAAACGAGGATCGGTAGTTGCCCGTGCTTGTAAGTAGGTAAGTGAAGCTTCACTATCACTATCCAAGATCTCCGACCTCTGATCCACACTAACAAAATTGTAGACATCGGTCTTAGTGAAACCCAAGTTCTGAAAGCTTCCCGCACAATTCACTAGATAATCCATGATTTGATTGGTGCGAATACCAGCAGCCCTAAGTGATCGAATCTGAGCCTTACTTGCGTCATCTACCTTGCGATAAGAACTCAAAAACTGCACTTCATGTGCTCCAGCTAAGTGATGAAAATGTGTTGGTACAAACTGCTTCACCTTGAATCGGTTAGTTGCCTCAACTAAACTGACTTTGAAAGCAGCCGGAAAATGGAGCCTTGTTACAGGCCTAGGTTCACGCTTTCTGTTCTCCTTGTCATTGTGCACTAGTTGACGCTCCCCCTCGCGTGAGCAAACCCATCGCTGCATATTTCTAACTCCATATTTTGAATATGTGTGAGTGTTCTTTTGTACGCTGAATCCCATGACACAACCATAATTTGAATAGAATTTGCCAGACTCCACAAGGGTTTCAAACTCATAACCCACAACATCATCCGACTCCCATTTAGAATATGGCTTACCATTCCCGACTTTATCAAGCATGGTCCAGTCATACATACTCGAGTACGGTGGAGCCATGGCTGGATTTGCAGCATCTTTGTGTAGAGGTGCATCTGAGCTGTGTGGCTGTGTTTCAAAGCTGTGCAAATGCTCATCTGAGATGTTCTCCTTATCATCATCACCAATGTTAGTGTTATTATCATCCTCAGAATCACTATCGTTGGTGTCGACATTGTCCTCCAAATCGTCACTATCTCTAACACCACCGGTGTCATCTCCATAATCCATTCCCCAATCTAAACCAACATTCAAGTCAATTCTCGTGTCCTTGCCTGTGCTCATATCATCCATCAACCCTTCCATAGTTGATCAATTGAAAACAATCAACAAAATGAAGTTTAGAGACAATTGAAATCCACATATTCACCACCCACAGCCGACCAAATAAAACACTTCACTAATCAAATAACAAGCAACGAAAAAATATTAGAGGCGTATGCATATAAGCCACATAGTTTCCGTGCATCTTTAAGCATCTTTAAGCATCCATTACCTACCAAGCTTAACTAACATACTACTACTGATAATGCTCTGGGACTAATTACCTACCAAGCATCCATTACCTACGAAACAAACACGAGGCAAGTCCGAGTTAAGCAAACTCAGCTCGATAGGTACCATATCAGCTCGATAGTTTCCCCTTCACTTCCGCGACAAACCAACCATTCACAAATGAAATGAAGCCAAGAAAGATCACAATTCACAACACCCACCAAATTGAACAAAGAAGACAACCAGAACCGATCCTCTTTTCAAACAACATGAAAACCATACATGAACACCATTACTGCCAACAATTTACAGTTTTGAATCCACCACAATCCCCAATCTTCGAACCCACCATAACATACCACAAACTTCCACATACCAAACTATGCACAATAACCACAGCTAAACTGAAACACAATTTCCAGCCCCAAAACCATCATAACCATCATAATTTCAGTCTCAAAACCCAACTATACATACAGGATTTCTCAAAATTCGCAAACACAATAGGCATAATCTCAACACACAACTAGTACTAAACTTCAAATTCCGAAAACCCACAAGGAAAGTTCCCCTTGGTCATTGGCGTTGCCGCCGACGAAGCTTAGAGCTGCCGGCGGTAGCCTTTCCTTACCATCCTATTGACACTAATTCCGTCTCTTCCCCTCAACCGAACCATTAAACCCATATATTAAAACAGAAAACCCAAATCAGAACCCTTAACAACTAAAACCCCCCACGAAAAATCACGCATGCCCTTACCTATTAAAACCCACTTGCTCTCTCTGCCTCATTGCCGTCTCGGCTAGAAACGATATGTCTCCGTCGCGAAGGATGGGTGGCGAAGGATGGGCGAATAAGGATGGGTGGCTAAAAATCACATAATACTTCCTTTTCCCATCTCTGATCTCATTCAATCTCAACAAGTTTTGGATTGAAAAATTCAACGGATTTCCCTACTAACTTGGGCAACATAACACCAACAAGAATAAGAGGGGGGAGATATGGAAAAGAACTTTGCAGCCACCAAAATAAGCTAAATATGGTTTTATCTGGTCATCAAAATAAGCTACACTAACAGGGAATCTGGTTCAGTCTATCTATCAACACTATCGATTCAAGTCTACATTGTTCTGTTGAATATAAGTTGCAATGAAGTTAAATGTGGTGTCCAACTGTACATACCTCGATGATTCAGTAAGAATTGAGAACCTTGAGTCCACCAAACTTCCTCCTAGCACGTTTTTCCACAACCGATCGCTTGCTATGCTTGAACTTGAGCCGAGTCACACCCTGGTTTGTGGGCTTCCCATACACTTACAACTGTCTCTTTTGCCACAAGAACCCTAGAAATCCCAGTAGCACAGAACAAGTGTTTCAATCACCAGAATAGCAGCAGTCAGACTTTCCCTATCCTGTCATTGCAAAATTCAGATCTTTGTAAGAGAACATTCAAAGAACAAATGCTCTCTAGTATCTATCCCAGCACTACAAAAAGAAAAAACTTGCATCCACAATCTTCCGCGAGCTTAGTAGCTTATCTCTCGTAGTGATTCTGTTCATTGTGACCAGCAGAGCAAAGCATTTTTTATGAACGAAGTATTTTGCCCAACACGATTCTTCCTACTTTGATCCACCAGGAATCAACAGTGCATTACGTTGAAATGGCAAAGAAGCATGGTTTAACTCCAGCTCAGCTTGCTCTGGGATTCGTTCTTGACAACTTCTATTGTGGGTTCAACCTCAGTTGCCCAACGCAATGTCAAAGAAAACATCTACGTCTTCATCACAAAAGAGAGGCCTTTGTCACCTCCGGTTCAAAGATAGTGCTACTGTCAAAACATTTCTACCAAGTAGGATAACACTCATAACATAACATAGCACAGTATATATGAACTCGATAGCAGAATGAACTCTCAAGACAAACAAAAAAAACTGATCAAGATCTATTATGTCGTCATAGATTTGTAACTTCAGTGCACATTTTTTCCCCAAAGAAACAGTACGCTGGGAACTAAACTCTAACAAATAAATTCACACCATCAATCACACAGTAGCTCTTCCATACAGCAAAGTACAACTACTTCCAAATATGCAGGTAATAATTGTGATGACCGAAAGCACAATCAACATCAGGGTAAGTGTCACGAGTAGAAAGCAAAGAGGCAGAGACAAACGATCTTGAATAAAAATTAATAGCTGAAGTTAAAAGGGCAAGATTTCAACAACTTTCCTGGAATGGAAGACTGAGATTGCAACTCTATCACAAGAGAAATTGAATTCTGAATCCAACGTGTAGCAGCTGAAAGAGTTACCAGATCAAAGTCCCTACACATAATACAAAAAATGAAAGTCAACTCACGTAAACAACAAAATCATAGACAGGTTACGATTAAGGTGATGCTAATACTGCAAATCCTTGTGTACAAAAGCATCCTAGAAGAAAGAAAGGATTCCTACTATATTAACTATTACGTACTACGGATGGGGCATTAAGTAATTCAGGCTCGTTGTTTTCCTAGTTCAGTATTCCACACAGACATAACGTCGAACACATGGAAGCTAGAAGCAATCATGGTGTATTTCAGCAAACACTTGGATGCAGAACAATTCTTATGATAAATCGACGAACGATACAACTAAAAGAAAGTAGGATAGAGGGTGCTCTAACCCTACTAATCAGGTCAGCTATTATACTCCTCCAGGCAAATAGTCAATTTGTATAATCCTTCTAGGATATAAATCATGTCTATGAATGATCTAATATCAAAATCTGCTCATATATGTCACTATGTATTTTGCAACTGTAATAAACAGTGGACTGTTATAGTTTCTGAGATAAACAATGTCTTTGCTTTACCTCTAACTATCTCTCTATTATGCTCTGTTTGAGTTTTTAGTTTTCTTTCTTTCCCTTTTGTCTTGGTTAGAAATTTTATCACCCCACAAACCAGAGGGCATACAAGATGGCATGAACACCATAGACCAACAGTTCTTGTAGACAGTATCAGCTACACTAATCCAAGACTATTGACATGCAATCTACGAGTCATTATCTACAACAGAAGAGGATTTAATTTTATGGAGAGTGATAACCAGATAGTACAGGATTGAACACAAAACCAAATAGTACATGATTGAACACAACCTGCATTTCTAGTCTTTTTGCGACACCTGCAATCCTAATACAAGACTACAAATCGATTGGATTATCAACTAGACAGAAGCAATAACATCGTTTAAGGTTATGAATGTCCATGGTAATGATCAATGCAGCAAAACACAAACGAACCCAATTGACGATACACTCGCAGAAAATCTTCAATTCCCTAATGATGATCTCCAATTCATCATCTTTCATACACTTTCCATGAAACCCAAAAGCATTATACAAGAACAATCATAATTGAAACTTATAGTGAGCTAAAATGATGAAAAAAGAAGGAATAGTTGTCTCTACAAATGAGGGCTGAGTTTAGGGTTCTTTTAGCCAGACGACGAGAAAGAAGTAGCAGGTGAAGGAAGAAGAATTTGAAGTGACAAATGGAGAAACATTAAGAATCTGAGGATCATCTTTATTACCTGAAAACTTGAAGGAAGAAACACAGCAAAGCTGCGACTAATTGAAGATCCAATGAATCCCCTACTCAGTCCCTATTTACAGTGTCTTCGTCAACCTATTTGAAGATCCAGTTCGCCTTCGTTGTCGCCACCTTCACTATCGACGAGGAAACGCCACCACTGTGTTCGCCCCGGCGGCACAACAAAGAGGCGACGAAGCACAATCGTGGGAGAGGAGACACCGCGAAAACCCTATTTCAGAATCTGGTTCACCGTCGACCTGCTCACCCCCTTCTCTATCGACTGGAGACGCCGCGAAACCCTATTTCTTCCTTTACCAAGCGTCGCACTCGCCGTCGAGCTATTTCAGAATCCGTGTCGCCCCCTGCTCGTCGCACTCGCTTGCCGTCACCCTTTGCTCACCTCCTTCACCGTCGTCGAAGAGAATTTTTTTTGAATAGAAGTTGAAGAGAATTGGAACGGAGAAGTCACTGAAGCTTCTAATTTTATTTTTAATTATTATTAACTTGTCAACCGGTGCAACAGGTAGCCAATACTAAAATAAAATAAAAAAATAATTAATTGAACAAGATCCAATAGCTCACAATATTTAACAAGATCTAATGGCTATAAACATAGTAAAGCACCCATACTATATAGCATACTAAAAAGCCTCCCTTAGTGTGCCCTTGGTTTAGTGGTAAAGGTGGGGAGCGGATCCTCTTAGTAATACATAAGTGATAAGTCATAACCACCGTATGAGTATGACCATACATAAATTTTTCATAGTTTAATTTAATGAATTATATCTTCTTGGGATTCAAATTTTCTTTCTCAGCGAAATTAGATTAATACTTATTGGACTTATTTGAACTGTTTTAGTTCTTTGTAATTTGTATAGTATTATGTAATTAGCCACCTATACCTAGAGGCTAGATACTTGTAGAGGGTATAAGGTTCGGCCATCTTCTCCTTGTAGAAACCAACGCAGACATCAAAATCTATAGCATAGTGAAAACTCTCTGAGAGCCCTAGCTCTCTTGGTCTAGTCCCTATATTTAGAAAACTATATAAATCATTGTCTTCTTGATATTCCGCACTATTTTACACAGTACTAGATATTAAAACCAGCCTGTTGCTGAATACATTTTATCAATGGTATAAACAATAATAGTAATTATACAAAATATAATATCCTTTTATTGGTACCATATATATCTAAATTATTCAATTGCTAAGAACATTGAAAAGAAACCTACATCATTAGAGTTTTTTTTAACAATTTAACTCATACAATGATGCAAATGAGCCAAGTCCTACAAAAATTATATAACCACACTTTATTTTACTACTTTTCATTACAAATTATTAAATTTTTTGTCTTAGACTTTCCTATATTCTAGGGATGGCAATGGGTCGGGTCGGGGACGAATAGTGCATATTCGTTACCCTGCCCAAAATAGTTTGGGTTTTATCCATACCCATACCTATATAAGAAATTAGTAGAAAATTCAAACCATGCCCATATCCGTTCGGATTTCGGGTATCCACGGTTATCCATGGGTAATAGTTTCTCTTTATAACTCCAACCAATATGTTAATATTCACGCATATTCTTACGTTACGTAAGATGAAATGTACGACAATAATTCACCAGAGTGAAGAAAATTAACCAAAACAACAAAATTTCATAAAAATATTATATTTATATGCTCAATATAAAATATTTTAGAGAAAAATATTGAATATTTCTAGACAAAATACATAGCATGCGTATAATTGGGCAGGTTCGGGCTGGATAGTGAGAAAACCATGCTCACCCATTACCCGTGATATTCGGGTTCGGGTTTTACCCGTAGCCACTAAAAGTCATTCGGGTTCGGGTTTTACCCTACCTGATTAGGTTGGATTCGGGCGGATATCCACGGCTACAGATACTTTTGTCATCCCTACTATATTCAAGTTGTCCCCTTGCAACAAAATCCTACGCCCTTGCAACATTACTTGCCCTCAACTTTATAATTGTAACACGTCTTATCGTACTCACATGCATAAATAACCCCTTTATTTTGATACAACATAACTCTTATAGGTTAAGAAGTTACATAAGTCTCACGTAGAAGATGATATTTTAACTAATGAGTATTAAAAATTCATACATAAACTTTTACAAAAATCTCATGTAAGACGGTTTATAAACAGTCTTTATGTAACATTTTTGTAATGTATATAGAATTTGTGGAGAAGAGATTTAAATGGTTTTGGACTTCATTGTTGGTGTCTTGCAAGTAGAGTTTAGCAAAGTTTCGTTTGTTCCCTTCAGTTGGTACCATACTACAATTGGATGATATATCTAACCTCCAATAGAATGAACATATACTCCACGTTCATGCAATTACATGTTGGTCAAGTTTACTTCTAGAGAAGTCAATGAGAAAACCCCATTATTGCCCAATATATATATTTCAAAAAGTGACATCACGTTGTCATATTTGCTTGCAATAGCATATTTTAAATCTTTGGAGATTGCCCTTGACGCCCGATATCTAACACTTCAACACACAATGAAATTATTAGTGCAATATGAGATATAAATTAGAGAAAATATCTATCACTAACAGTACTTAAATGAAGAGAACACAAATATTGTGAAGATCGATAAACCTGGAAAATCTCCAAAATGCATCACTTTAAAACAATTATAATAAGTTTGGGCAAGCTTGATGGACCTTAAAATCCTACGTAGACATTGAAAAATAAACAATCTCAACAAAAACACATAATTTGGTATCGTGTAGATTGAAAAGAAATATCCAACTAATGGATTACCCATAGGAATGTTACAACTCTCATGTATTTACGCTTGTCTAATATAAAAATACATTTTCTTCTTTCTAATTTTTGAATTGTTTTACTTATGTGAACTAATTTATGAAAATATAAAATGACATACAATAATTTTCTATGGTTGAGCAGTGTGAAATAGTGGGAGAGATAGTAGTGTATCAATCATTTGTAGTTATCATATATCGTTGGTTATACCATTAGCAATTTGTATCCAAGCTTAGGTCACATGATTCGCGTGTTGAAGGACGGCGCTCCCGCTTTAGAGCTGCAAAGAGCTGTTTTCTTGGATCCGTCCCAAATTCGCAAATTATAGATTGTTGGAGCGCGGATTTAGTTAGAAAAACCGTGGACCTTGATTGCAACCAGGGCTCCCACCTATTTCCTACTTAGTCTTAGTCTTTTCCCTTCGCGCAGTCCACTACCAACCATATGCGCTAGCCGAAGCAAGGCTTGCAATTGTTCGATATGCACCAAACTGCTTAATGTCCTCCGATTCGTCACCGGCTGCTCACGATTTGAAGTTTCTGAAGGAGATAACATATGGATGAACAATGGGTTGTCTGGTCAGGCGACAACCAGTAAGTACAGAGTCATGGAAAAGAGATATTTTGTGGTTGTGAATGGGTGGCATTCGGGGTTGCAGAGTTGGATTGATAATAGGAAGGAAGAAGGGGTTGAGTGGTGGCTGATTTGTATCTTCAATTCTCAGGCAGATTTGGCTCCAACGAGCCAGAGAAAGAGAGAAGAAGATTGAGGAGAGTTGAAACCGAACTATCAAATAGATTTATTAGCAGTGTTATTAAGACCAGACCAAGCCGGCCGGCCAGACCGTTAAAGCCTCCACCCGGGGGCAAAATCGGCTTGGGTCAGTCATTTAGCCGCTAAGGTTTTATGGAGTGGCCGAGGCGGTTAACCGCTCGAGCCGCTTGAACCGATCGCTCGGTTTTCCCCTTCCGGTCGTTATGTTTAATAAAAAATTTTGAAAAAGAAATAAGAAAATTGAAAACAAAAGGCAAAATCGTGGGGCTAGGAAAGCCTAACTCTAATTCAGTTTTCTTCTTCGACTCTTCGTGAATAGAGGGAGAAATGCAGTGCCAAAACCTGCCACCGTCAACACTTCCCGTCCTAGCTTCCCGTCGGCATCGTGACCATCCCCAGTCAGTATAGCAGCTCCCAGCTCCCCATTGCTAGTCTATGTTCCCGTCCCCTCTTCCCGTAGCAACTCCTCCGCTCCGTCGTCACTTCTCGTCCCGACGCTTCCCGTCGCCATCCCCATTTCCTGGGTTCGCTCCCCGCTAGCATGTTTTTGGAATTGTTAAGAGTTAAGAGTGTAATTTACTAATTTAGTCATGGTTTACCATGATTAAGAAGTGTCCACTATTTATACTGATTGTTTATTAGGTACTAGTTTTCTAACGGTTTTTAAACGGTTTAATGCCGGTTAGACCATCAAAGACCGAGTCGTTCACATTATCGGGTCATACTCCGATTCGCTTTTCACAACATTGTTTATTAGTCTATTTCTATTTCTAAATTCTTATCCCTTTTATTACAGCTGGTTTCCATTATGCTGGCAAAATATGAAGTCTCCTATAAATATAACCACGTACAGTTGGGTCATGATATTTCTATATGTGTCAGTTATATCGTTTTAGGAAGAAATGTAGAGTCAAGTCTCTATTGGTCACTGCACCCTCCCTAGTTCCTTTTATTCTTTTGGTCATTATGCTTCACAATATTTAATTATTTAGTTTATGCTTCACTATACATCCAAATTTATGACTTAAATATAATATAATATAAACCTTTTTTTACGCTCTCAATATTGAATTCTTCTAAATCATACGCTCCCGTTCTCGCTCTCGCTCCCGCCCCCGCTCCGCGATCTGATTACCTAAATCCAAGCTATGCATTATCATAAGAAAAGTTTAATTAATAAAATATTCTAAACATTTGAATTTATTGGTAGAAAAATAAACAACAAAGTTCTTGATAGAGAATTATCAGAATCAACCAATCCTTCTGAAGATAAAAAACAACTCTCGTACTTGGTAAATAACAGGTGACATGAACATACATTATATTAATATAAGATGTATAATATAATATTAATCAAGTCTCTTGTCACCTCTAGAGATAGAACACCTAATTCACACATTTTTTATTTATTCACGTAAATTTGAACTTATTCACGCCATATTGGCGTTATTCATGTAATAGTGTTGATTATAGGGGTGGACAACGGGACGGGACGGGATAACCGTCCCGTTTGAAACGGGTACCCAATCCCGTTTGGAGACCAAAGTCCATCCCATTCCCAAACCCATATGGGTAAACGGGTACCCATTACTCGTACGGGACGGATAACGGGTACCCATACTACCCATAAATACCCAAATTTTGAATCACTAAAATTCTAAACTTAACTTGTACCTTCTTAATACAAATTCATGAACAATCACAAGACATAGAATAAAGCATTCCAACCACTCATAACATTAACAACTAAGAAACTGCTGAGTGTTCTACAATTTGCCAATTCTTGAATTCCAATTCCGCTGACCCCCTGGTAGCTGTAACCTTCAAAAATAGAGTTCATTATCAACAAATTAAAGAGAAAGCAAAACACCAAAACCATAACAACTAACAAGCATTATCCGCTGCATTCTACAACCTGCAAAATATCTATGTAATAACAAGCAAACACAACAAATCCATTATCTTTCAACTGTGTTCTTCGTGGAATTAAAAATAAACAGCTACCCCGTACCTATC